TGAACTGCTTAAGTAGGAGCACTTGCTATAAAGGAAAGACACTTTTGCTCTCTAGATGAAGTCTCAGATTTCTTTACTCAATATACTGAATCTTGAAACTGTTCTGATTTCCTTTCAAAAATTAATTCTACCTTTTGTTCTATAAATAAATCTTTGGAAATACCAATGCTTCTGTAACAGGGCTTTTGAATTTCCCCCACATCCAAGGTGTCATCAAATCAATTGTCTTCATTTACAGCATTTCTGTGATCTGTTCTCTCATTTCTGTTACTGTTTATACATTTTTTTGCCCGTAACTTGATCATCTTTTGTCTTTACCACTATATATCCCTTTCTGTATGTTGCCTGGCTTCTCTACAGTCCATCCAAAAGGCTACTGCTCAGCACCTTCTCCAACTCCCAGTCCAATCATGTGTTTATCCTTCCACCTATTCAAATCCTTTGCTGGCTTCTCCTCATCTCTTATATTCAGATTAATTGTCTTGTCCTTGAATTTCAAGCCCTACAGTTTTCACTTCTGTGTATTTTTTTCTATTCCATCTCTTTTTTTTTTTCTGCTCTTCCTCAAGATTGGCTAAAACTAAAACTCACTGTGTCATCCTAAATTCTGCTCTTGATTTGATCCATTCTGGCATGTTGAAGCCTATAATGGGAACAGTTTCCCATTTCATGTTATACCAATCTCTTCTTTTACTTCCACCTTTACAATACACTTCTGCCAAGACTGTTAGTGCTGCTTTACAGAATTAAAAATTGGCATTTCCTCAAGAGTGAACTTTCATCTAGTATATTATGTGTCTTAACTATTTCTGTCTAGCTTAGACCATAAACTCCCTGAAGAGAAAAATGATTCCTGCTTCATGCATTGTATAGTGTCGAACACACTGATAGTCAACAAATATTATCTACTAAATCTGAAAAAAAGAGCAGAAAATAAAAGGAAACAAATCCAGTGACTAGGGAGAAATGTTCTTTATTGGAGTGGTAGCAGTTTTACTATGTGAGTATTTCTTTCTGGTATTCTTGAGTTTTACACAGTTTTTATCTTAATATATTGATAGTTTATATAATTGTTATAAAACTACCAGCTTGCTGAAAACTCCACGTCACTCTTTTTGGTTATATAGTACCCTCTGACCCCGGACAGTTATTTTTGAAAAAATGATCAAAGAGAAGTCATGATTTTGAATATACTGACATTATTTGGTCAAATTTAAACATGCTTTACGTGCAGAAATGTTTGCAAAAGTAATCCACAATGATTTTCTGGTTTTCATTATTTCTTATGTGAATTGAAATGCTGCCTGTTGCATTTATCACTTCTCCAAAAATATGTCAATACATGTCTGTATCTGCAGTGCAGCAAAGCTTTATTGGAAAAACTGTAGTTGTAGTTCAAATCTATAACTTTTGTTTCAAGCAGCAAAATAAATAATTCAACCAGAGAGGGAATGAGAAAGTTGGAGATGGAAAGGGGAGAAATACTTTAGGTATGATTCAGAAATCTTAATGATACAAGACTTTAATATAAATTATGTAAAAGATTATTCCTATGCCCTCAATAAAACTTCTTTAAAGTACAGCCAACTCTCCTGGACTCCTTTACCCTCATATTAACATCCCAGGGAACCCTGCTCATCAGTAACCAATCCATTGACAGGTAACTTGCACCTTTTGTCTGCTTCTAAATGTGGCTGAGGGCTTAATATGCTCATAGAAGAATTGGATACAGTTTAATTCTCAGTATTTCCTTTTTTTTTTTTTTTTTTTTTGCAAACATTATTTTCAGCACATTTTCCAATACATTTCTAATTATACAATCAAGTATCTGTAATTTACTTATTTCTATTTGGTAAACACATCAAAAGTGGCTAATTCAAGTATCTGTACTACTTTTTTAGTACACTGTGTTGCTAAAAATCCTTACTCCTTCTAATACAGTAGTTCCCAACCTTTTTTATACTGCAGACTGGCAAACCCATTCACAAACTTTTGGCAGACCGGTAACATTTTATTTGAATATGTGCATATTCATTCATGATGTATGAATGTCTACCAAAATTCCCACCCACCAGTGCCACCATGAACAGCCAGCTTCAGCTCCGGCAGTCACCACTTGGCGGGGGGCTGCCGCAGATGAAGCTGGCTGTTCGGGGCAGCTCTAGGGGCCAGGGCTGGGGTATGCAGTGGTTCTGTGCCCTGCCAGTGCCAGCCTTAACCCCTAGAGCCCCCCCCCCCTCTACTCCCCCCCAGCCCCAGCCATTGACCCCAGATTCCCATGCACCCAACCTCCCAGTGCCAGCCCCCCACCCCTTATAGCCCTTACGACAAGACCCCCCCATTGCCAGCCTCCTGTTTCCAGAGCCCCACTGCACCCAACCCTCCTACAACTCCCCCCTTGTGCCAGCCCCCAGACTCCAATATTATCCCCATCCCCAGAGCCCCCCAGTGCCAGCTCCCCACCTCAGATGCCCCAGTGCCCCCCAATTTCATCCCCCCACAAAACTCCCCCCGTGCAGTCTGATCCCCCCCAAACTCCTGCCTTTAGAGACCTCTATCCTGTCCCTCCTCCGTCTCCTCTTTTCTTACCTTC